CGGCAAAGTTTCGTCCACAGAGATCTTTCAGGATAGGCCCCAATCACGATTTTTTTCCCCTAAAGTTGATTACAAATAACGGCACCCCCTGGCACTCATTTGAACAGTCGAAAATCACGATATTATAGTGATGAAGTCTTTAAAATCGTGAAAATCCATAGCCAGAGGTGGCCATGGATTCTCACGATCTAAAAAAAAATCACGTTTTTCACGATTTCCATTCGTCACTGGTAGAGCAGATACAATTACTTTACTAATAATAATATTATTTAATACTACGGTGGCGTGATGAAGCACGTGAAAAATGCGTGCATCCATTCTACGTCAATCGTGGGAAAACCTTGGAAGCGTGGGAAATTCACTTTGGGAGGGGGAAAACCCCCCTGCAAAATCTCATCCCAACACGAATCGCGACGCAACGTCGCTCGACGCACCGCAGCAAACAACAACGCCCACGCAGCTTTTCAGCTGCGGTTCGGCCACCGTACCCTCGGCCAGATTTTACTGCCAGCACGCTCGCAAAGCTCGAGGGGGCAGAGTGCAAACGTCTTATCCCGACGTGGGGGGGGACTTGAACTTTCGATAAAGCATTTGGAGATTTATCGTAACCGCAGTGCCCACTCCTGATCCCTGCCCCCCTCCCCCCCACCTTTGTCCCCTCTCCGTGCCCCCAAGAGAAGGCGTGGGGATGGAAATCCCCGGAAAAGTAGTGAAAATTCGCCACTGCAACACACACCTGATCCTTCTTTTAAGACACATTTTTATTCGTTTCGATGGTAAATTGGTACTGGCGCGCAGCAGCAGAGAGAGTCAAACCCGCCATCAGCTTGCTTCGAAGCAGAGCAGTGTCATCGACAGCCGCCTTGTTGACATTTTGTGATAAAACTGCTGACACCACTCAAGCCACACCTCTTTTTAACATACAGAGAGTGATTACGGATGAGGCGATTTCGATTTAATTTTGAAGCAGATCGATCGCTCTGACATCCTCACCCAGAAGTTTTTTAAAAAGAAGATAATTTCAATAGCATGTTATTAGAACATAGCTTTGCTTATTAGCAGTGAGAAGAGGGAGATTTGTCGCAGAAATTCCGAGGAAGTTAACAAAATCATGGGATTTTCCCACAAACGCACAATGAAATACTCCAACGTCAGTGCACTGAACACAAGAGATTATCGTATAATGAGCGATCCCACATTATGAGTCAGAGTCCTCTGCGTGAAGATGAGCTCAACCCCTTCTGGAAAGCCGAATGAGAAGTTCGATTCTCTCTCTCCGGGATAACAAAATAAATGATAAATTCAAGATAAATTCGAGATCCAAAAAATAAGAATAAATTCAAGAGATAACGAGAAATTCGATTTCTTCTTGGTTTAATTGCGAAGCTATTTTAATTCCTGACCCTCGTTACTTGGGCCGGTGTTTGCAGCCCTTCGGATGGGCTGTTTATAATTTCCATTAATATGATCCTGGTAGGGCCTTCACGGCCTCCTACTGTTCTTTATCTCAGAGTTAAGTTCGATTCCCTTCCGGTCCATAGAGCTCATCTGCAAAGAAACTCACTTCGCAACAGGGCTGGTTTTTAATCTAGTAACAAATCAAAGGTCTTTTACTAAAGCGCAAGAACTATCCGAGCAACTCATGCAACGATGTTACGTCGCTAGCAACAATAAAAACAACATTTTACATAATTATTACAAACAATTTCTAACATTTCTGTATGGGAACTCAAACGAAACGACAACATAAAATATAATAATGTTGTGTCCGACAAGCTTACGAAGCCGAGGGGAGAGTCCCCCAATTTATGCGTTCTTCTCCTGTTTTTGGGATTCTTTCCCCTCCCTGCTTTTACACTATTTTATGGTACCTTTCATCTACATGATAGCATTGTAGAGTATCGTGTGCTCATTACTTTATTACCCCTTAATATTTCTATAAATTAAGAAGAGAGCTCGTTTCCCTATCCATAAAATATCGCGTGTTCGCGATTTACGAAACAGAAACGCTGAAGATGTACATCCCAGATGCTTAGCATACACCAAGGACATCTCAAAACGGCTAAAGCTTTGCTTCTACTACGAGAATCGCCGAGTTCTAATGTGTTCGGGGGACGAAACGTACGTCAGCACCGATTAGGCCGCGAAGCACAGGGTCAAAACAACAAGGAAACATTGCTAGCTGCAAAGGAATGCACAACTGTACCAAAAAATAACAGCTTTTTCGAGTATTTCAGTAGGGTATAATATTTTGCTGTGTTCGCATATACCATGAACACCGAGACTCTCCGAACTGCTGGTGAGGGAGATTTCATATTAAGGGATGCTCTCACACGTCCAGTACAGCTTTGTCAGGTCATTCGCGTTACCAAGTTGCATATTTGCACTCAGTACTTGCCTCAACAACCGTGCGTATGCACCACCTCTTTGAAAACCACAAATTTCTGGAAAAATCTAAACGG